AAAAAAAAACCCAGAAAAGCACACAAAACAAACAAACAAGACCACCAAAATCAAAAAACCCAGTGGTAAAGAAAAAAATGATGAAGCTCATAGACAGATAAATATTGGTCCCTTTCYCMTATTTCTTCYACCCCCAAGCAGGAAGATGCAGAGYCTCCRRGAAGGTGGAGTAMATAAACTAATAAAAACTGTACAGCCTTAAAATTTATAAAAGTAATTTACATAAAATGGAGTTAAAACTTATTAACTGGGAAAGATCTACTGCAGCCAGCATGCAGTTTAGATGAAGAGCTGCACAAAGAGAAGGATTTCCACTTTAAGTCAAGAAGGTCTCAGGCATCGCAGCACAGCCAGAACTGGAATAAAGCAGTACYTAATTTAGCTGAGGTAAAAGGAAGCCTGACAAAGGTCATTACTTTCAAATTCTGAAGGAACAAAAGGATGAAATACATACATTGAGAAAAAGCTTTTTTCTTTTTTTTTCACTTTAAGCTGATATATTTTTAAAATTTACTATAAAAACTGTCATGTTTTACTAYCTATGCAGTAATTGTGTTTTAAGAAAAGAGAGGGAAAGCTACTTCATACAGCCACAGAGATGATTTAATCTTACTTTAAGAGTGTTTAAGGCCTTCCTTAATCTTTTATTTGAAAGCTGTTCTAAAAGTATCCAAGTAAATGGAAAAAAGAATAGAATGCAATATCTAAAAATAGACTGGACCATGATTCTTCTCCCAGTAAAGATGATTGAATTTCACAGACTAAAGTGGGATAATCWTGATTATTAATGAAAGAAAAACTATCAGGCTTGGAAAAGCTATAGCAGTTTCCAAATAATCAATCTTGGGAACTACCTTGCTTTTTTCTGTTGGAATCCTTGGCAGAAGAAAATGCATGGCAAACAAATATGACAAAGTAAGAGTAGACACCGTCCCTACAGAGGAATGCCAAGTTATTTTACATGCAAAATGGAAAGATTAATAGGAAAAACAAAGGAAATAGGAGAATGGCCATAACTAGAGACTAATAACTAGAATAACTCAGAAGCTGGAAGACTGCCATTGAACCATACCTCAGCAAATATCTGATCCAGAATTGCTGCTGGCGTTCCCAACCACCTGAGTTCAAGCTAAAGGGATATCAAACTGCAAGGAGGCACAGAGAGGTGTGTCTGGCAYGGTCAGAGTACTGGAGTGCCCATCACATTGGCACAAAACCATGACAGCTCAGCCTAGCAAGAAGGAGCTGGACTGCACGCTATGGAGAACAAGAGTAATACCATGGGAATAGAAGGATTCGCCAACAAACCTCCAGTAGCAGCAGTAAARGCCAAAAATCCTCCAACTATTCAAGTCTTGATTTTGTGAATAGACCTGGACAGATGGCATTGTACACAAAAGAAGAGAATAAAGTGATCTTTAAGGACCACTCCTTAAAGGCTTATCTGGCCTTATTATCACATGTCAGATGTGACCATCCCACTGTGATCAACACTTCTAGCACTGGATTGAACACAGGATGTAAATGCTGTGGAAAGCTGAGAACAAACTAGCAAAACCAAGACCAGAGTACAAAAGCCTGATACACTACTCTTACTTCAAGGTACGTACTCAGAAATTATCATTCCTGACCCATAACTTTAGACAGTTCCTATTTAGGAGCTTAACATTGATTGGACACCAAGAATATCCAGTTGGCTCAATTCCAGTTCATCCTGATTAAAATTATTCAGCCRTAGTTATTTGCAACTTCCTCATGCCCTGCAGTCAAATTGGATTACAAGAAAATGACACATCCATAGCTGAAGACTTAAACTTGAGGAAAAAAGGAATACTGCAGTGTATTTCCACAAGCAACTCAGTAGTACCACAAGTGTGGAGCAAAGGGAGCACCTTTGCTTCCTTGGCAATTTCAAATGAGATTTTATTACAAGGCATTCTGTTCCCACAGTTGTACCCAAGACATGTGGAAAATCACTTAAAGATATGCAAAGAAGAATGTAAGAAACAGATTTTGTCCTCTGACACAAATTTTCTCCTCTTGATGCAGATTCACATTCCTGTGTGACACATGACCTTCATGGAACTGACCCTAGACTCAGGAAGGAASTTTCGCAGGAATTAACGATCATTATAAATCTCACTATGATTCTACCTAAATACTGAGGCCTATCTTATTTTCTGCTCCATTTATGTTTTCTAATACAAAATCCTACCTGTATGACTATTTCTAGAAAAAAATCACATATTGCTGCCTCTGTGAAAATATGATGAAAAAGGAAAAATATAATGAGCACACTTTACAACTGCAAAGCCTTACACTAAAGAGGCTTTACAGTGGTAAGGAAACATAAGAGCAAGAGATGAAATGCAAGAGATAAGTAGATTCACTAACAGCCACAGTGAAATTTAGTCTTTACCTCAAGAACACAGAGAAGTTCTTCCACATATGCTCGTTCAGTCTCAATAAGTTCATTCATTACATGCCTGTGGACAAAGAATGATGATTAAGGGGGGGTTTATTCACTTATGCAAAGTAATGAGTAAACATTAACTTTGTCTGTGTTTCTTCTTTACTTCAGACAATAAAAGAACAATTTCCAGGCAATGGAAAATGTGATGGTCCATGGAYATTCCTGTCAGCAGTTTATATAACCTTATGGAGAATATGTATTTTTAAAACATTTTAAAATATTTGAATTTGAGTTTGAACAGGAAAGAAGTCAAATCTAGCCATTTAAGTGCTGTAGTAACTGAATTCAAGCAGTGAAGTGTTTTATCATTGTACGTACAAAGTCTGGTTATGCTGTGTTTGCAACTATTATGGGAGCTGGAGCTGTATTAGATGGGATTATAAAACATAGACTGAAAGCCACACTGGTAATTTTAAATTAGAGGCACTTAGGACACACTTCAAATATTTTGATGCTGCTTTCATTTCCCTAATGATTAAGCATTGAATCACACTTACCCCCAAACTCCTTCCCTTGTGATTCTGTATGATATAAAACAAGGTCGTGACAGTAAAAAGACCATGTAAGTAGCCAGTTTACAGGTAAAAATGCAAGGTCTGCTATATTCATTGCATGTGGCACCAAGTTATTTCTTTAATAGAAGCGATGCTGTTCCGTTTTTATACAATTGGCTTTTTGGTAATGTTTATCAAAATGGGGAAYAAAAAGAGTCCAATAAAAAGACAAAGTCATGAAGCATGGAGACCAAAACCTTCAACAGATTTACAGGAGGCTCATCACTCAMAACTGTACCATCTCTGTAATGAGAATATGTACTTATCCTGCCATAGCATCACCTCACTGCAGCAAAGGCAGACTCTATTACTACCCAAATTCTAAATGATACTGCAGACAGGCTGAAATAACTTCCTCTCTGCACAGAATGTAGCCAATGCTTTTCAAAAAGCACTGAACTTATTTCAGAAAAATATACTTGTCTTATCAAATCCTTAGGCAAACTCAAGCTTTGCTGGAGCCAAATCAGAGAAAACCCACACTTTCTGCTTATCAAAATATACTTACTGTCGTAACACAGCTAGGTTTTCCTCATCATCCATTGTAGATCCTCCTCTGCTTTGATGGAGTTCAGTCATTTCACTCTAAAGAAGGGAACAAACAATGAAAAAAATCACTGGCATCAGAGATGGGGGAGGAACACTTCAAAATGCAGAGCTTTGTGCTCTACTAGTATGCCTTTTCACTGCAAAGACTGTACTCCRCTAAAAATGGAGGCAATTCACAAGAATGCTGCAAAAAAACCTCAAGTTAACCTGAAGGTCTTAAAGTGCACAATATTTGGACAAGGGAAGTTCTCCAGAGGCCACTTTAGAAAAGATGGTGGTTCAAAGCCCTTTTCTAAGAAGACATCAGAGCACCAGTAGGCAACACTAGCCTTAGTCTGTTTTCCAAGATAAAAACRGGGTGCTAACTTTCTGGTTACTGCTTACCCTGACACGGAAATTCACTCTCATAACTTTTACTGTAATGGCTAAACCTATTAGTGGCTTGTTGAAAAATGAGAAAGATTCTACTTAAACTCCAACCCCTTTTTCTACAAATGTTGTCCATCCTGGTCATGTGGTCCTGCCTTCCTCCTTACCTTGTACTTTTGCTGAACCTTTGCTGAGTTGATTCAACTCTCTAACCCAGTGAGAAACTACTTRTTTCTGTGGCTGCTGCTGCTGTCAGGGTACTTCCCTTGTCTGAGGCAAGGCAGGATGACCAGCCCCCCTCAGGAATGGCAATCCATTAGGTCTGGTGATGCTGTCTTGGAGCCAGTGACAACTACCCCTTCACTGTCAACCTTTTTAAGAGTAGCCAATTACTACTGGCAAATAAAAAAYAGTTTTTGTTCACAGATTTAATATTTTGCCGCCCCTAAACATTTTTCCTAATACTAGCAATTCTTCACTTTACCTTCCCTTATAACCAGCCCCTATTTAAATCACATGACTGTTTCACAAGTGTTACTTCAACTGGGACAATGCCATCACTTTTCCAGTGGAATTGCCTCATTCTTATTGAGAGTTCCTGAATATTCTGTTGTACTATGAAATTCTCAAGTAGCACATATGTGAAAAATGCAAACAAAATTACCTTTCCTTTTCTGTAGTTTGCCCTCCGCAGTGCACTGCTTTCTGAGTTGGACCCGTATTCTCTTTGAAGACCTAAACACGTAAACCAGAATCAAACAGAACTTGATCAGATCTGACACAGATGTCTGTGAAACCACAAATTATGSCTGAAAGTTTCTTTATGTTTCTCAGTATAGCACAGAAGATTAGTTAAAAGCTAACACAGTTACTTACCTGGAGAGCTACAAGGAGATTTTACAAATGCTTCAGGTCTTGGTGCAACTGGCTGAACAGGACGTGTCTGCTTAGCTGCCAGTTTCTTAAGACTTACTTGTCGCTTTTGAAACATTTCTTCCATACTTTCTTGCTTCTGGAAAACCTTTTGCACGTGCTCCTACCGTTGCCAGGGAAATAAAGACTAACTTAAATTAAAATAGTAATTTAAATAATTTGTTACAATTTTTTAATTCCTGTCAGAGACCTATCAACAAGCTACATTGACATCTGCAGCATACTGATTTGAAATTTCAACTACTTTAACACCACATATAGAAATATTATGCTAACTCTTCACTCTTAATAAGGTATAATTTAGTACACTTAAAAAATGGAACATCACTTCAAAAAGTATTTTRTGTGCTTACTACAGAGAAATCTGGGATTCAAGTTTCAATTTAAAAAAAAAAAAAAGGTTTTTTGATAGTGTCTAAAGGTTCTGTTATGGGAAGAAATCAACCAAAAAGAAAAGGAATATATTCTCAAGTTCTTTTAAAAACAGTAAAATAATAATAAAAAAAAAGTAGTRCATTTTTGCTGTATAAAAAGAAAAAATAAATACTCATTTGAGAGAATTTTTTTTAAAGCAATTCTACTGTCTGAAAAATTGAAGTCKTTATGAAAAATCTCTGAAATCCTTGATGCTTATCCAAAGGTGCAATGAGACTCAGGCGTGGAAATGTGTTGGCTTTCCAGTTCACAGRTGTAACTCCTAGTTAATTATTTAGCTTTACCAATGGCAGTACTAGAGAGCAATTCTAAAACGAGCCAAAGGACACACAGATACACATAAACATCTTCTGGTACCTTTAGGTCTTCATTGAGGATGTGGGCATACTCTCTGTAAATTTTATTCAGCTCCTTGATTTTATTGCCAGCACCGGTATCCAGGAATTTCTCGATCTCCTGTAACGCTGATTCTGCGCCATCCTGAGACTGACACTTATCCACTGGCTGTGAAGCCAGMAGGTAAATTCCTTCATCACACCACTTCATAGACTAGAAACAGGRAAGAACAGGCTCAGAATGCACCAGTGTCAGCATCACACACTGAGAGTCTAAAACACCTYAACCTTGTCATGTACTCAGCTATTTCAAGAGAAAACTTCCAGCACAACAAGAAAATGCAGCCTACCATTGTAATAATTGTGTGACTGAGGTTTTTGGGGAACAACTGTTGCATAAAAAATWTACCTTCTCTAGTAGGTCATGCAGCTCCAGAGATTTGTTAAGATGATTTCTYCTCCTTTCTGTCTCACTAGTGAAGGCATCGCAGAGATGATGAAGTTCACTGCATTTTGGAATAATGGAGTCCACAGCATAATGATTGCTTTGAATAAAAGCATCACGCTCTGAGGCTAACATTCTGGCTTTTGCTACAGTTTCCTAAGAAAACAAACACTGATTTAGGTACATCATTYCTTGGAACAAGACCAGTGAAAAAAATTCAAAATTGTTTTTAGGTGGTGAGATACACATATTGATAAAGCATACTTATTTAGTTAACAGCTGCCTTGCTTAACAAACCAAGTGATCTCCTGTCTTTCCAGACACCCAACAACTTTCATGTGCCAGAGTAGCTCAGAAACAATTATGATTTTAATCAATGGCCTCCTTGTGAAGGAACTGCTACTGTCTTCCGATGCCTTATTCAGCAGTGTCTGTGTGTGTGTCTATGCAATTTGGGGTACAGCAACAATCTGAACCCAAATTAAAAAATACCTATCTCAGCCTTAAGAGCAACAACCTCACTCAGAGGGCAATATATTTCACTGTGAAGCACAGATCACAAAAAGGTTCCCTTTCTACATTGTTCAGTGTATGTTTCTGCTGGCCATTGTACTTTCAATACACAGCTTTCTTATTTCTAAGATTTACTGAAAAATGTGGCTTTAGTGGGAATGGAAGTGGCCCCTTGATCAGTAAATGCAAAACTTGGCTAAGCAGACACTTCATGCAATTCTTCCACSAAGCAATCCCGCTTTTTGACTGGTCACTTTCCTCTGTATTAAGGGATGTCTGAGCATTACTCCRCTCCAGTTGTTAAAGATTTTCTTCCAGATATCCTTCTGTATGTTTCCTGTGACACTGATTCTCACTCAACAACCAGATCYCATTCCCCTCAGCACATACATTGTSACAGTAGAAATTAGGCAGACTTGCAGAGTTCTTACACATGACTTTTCTTCAAAGTTGGCAAGATCTTTCAAAATATGCTCCACGTGTGAACTGCTGTTTCCCACATCTGTGAAAGCAGACAGTCTCTCAGACACAATATCCAAAGCTGCTTTGACCTGAAATGAGACACAGCTCTGCATGAATGAAGAGAGCTCCACCTCTATGGAGACCCACCAGTTAAATAGCTGATAGCCACTATCTGCAGTGACTCACATTGTGTGGTTACTGGGGCACAGAGACAAAGCACCTTTTTTGGTCAGCCTACCTTTCCCCCAATTCARAATGAAAACAAAGAAAAGGCAGTGAAGTAATCCTGTTTCCTGGTACTGAAAAAGATSCAGGAAAACTAATGCTCAGGAAACTTTTATGATCTTGCTTTTACCAGATGACAATGATACAAAGCAACGTTAATGTTAACAGCAAAACATGAGGGAGAGGCACCMTAGCAATTGGTTTAGAGACAGACAAATGCTTGCAAGAGGGTTTCTGAGTGTTGCTCTTGTGGAGACTCAGGGGCTGCGTTCCAAGATCAGTGACACCAGGATAAAGAGTCTGTAGGTGCCATCAGCAAATGAGTTAAACAATATGAGATCAGAAACTGGCTGTAAAATTGTAGTTCAGCCTCCACCCAGCTTCTAACAGTGTGGTTGMAACTTCCCACCCACAGTGTGGGAGACAGCTTTCATAAAATTTCAGCCAGAAGGTTTAGTTAAGGCTTGGTTCCATAAAAGGACCTATTGGCAAGATGAAAGTRTTGCAGCAGTATTTTATGTTTCTGTGGCACAGAATAGGTTTCAAAGGGGTTATGCTTATACACTGCTGGGTGCATGGGAAAAAAAAAATCTTAAGACTGCAGGAAAAAAATACGTTAGGTTTCTATAGGCAAGAATTCAAACTAGCAAAGATAGCAGTATGTCAAGTAAGGACAAGAGAAAGATTGGAGGAAGCTTTCAAGAGCRCACAAAAACTGTGAAAACAAGAGCAGGAAGTATTTTCTTATGAATCATTTCTATATTACCAAATATTGACTGCCACCAAGAAGTTCTCACCTCTCTGAAATTCTGTTCAAAATTCCGAAGGCGCAGACACTGCTCTAGTTTTTGCTGATGCTTAATCCAAAACTCATCAAAGGCAGTCTCTGTTTCATGTAATTGAGCCAGTAGCCTTAAAAAAATCAAACCAAAACAAATTAAAAAATACTCTAAGACTGATGGGTGCAACCTTCCAGGGACAATGCAATCTTCCACAGTAAACAAAAAGCCTCCCCAAAGCARTATTTTCCAGAACAAATAAACTGGATACAGAAAACATTTTTTGGTATCAYACAGTATCATTTCCTACAATAACAYTGATGTAAAAAACTGAAACCCAACACAAACATTAAGCTCTGAAAATGGGAAAGTGCTTATTTTAAGCACCTTCTCAGCTCTGGCCCARGGATATGGAGAACTGGGGCTAACAGACATAAATAAAATATGTAAATGTGTGTGGGTGAGAACTTGAAGGACCCAAGCCCTAGTTATAATGAAAATTTAAGATAAAAATTCATACTGCTGTGACCAGCCAGCTGCCCTTCTATTTTCTTCCTTGGAGCAAAGCTATAAACCTGAAAGCCATTGCTCCGTCTCTTCCAACCAGAGTTATTAATTAAACATCATAGGCAAGTGTACAGTTGTACTGTGATTAAAAAAAGCTTCTTTGATAATAATTCTGGCAAATTACTTAAAACTTTCACTTCTTATCTTCTATTATTGCATTTTATGATATCCTATGGAGTTTCTAAAGTGCACTTTGCTGTATTTAGGCTACACATYAAAATTGTAATGAACTTTTGTCTTGAGCAGCAGAGAAATGAACYCTGAATTTACAAGTTAAAACCAAGTAGAGAAGGGCAGTGACACWGACACACACGCAGAGTTTTCTCCAACTTCGGTCAGATATTGTATTGAATAGGAATGTTATGGATAAATTAGCAACCCCCACCCTGATTGTCCTTGGACAGCTGATAGAAAAAGTGACAAAAAAAAAAGTGACTTCTGCCAAGCTTTGTGGATTGGAATGGACAKTTATTTGGAAAGAAAAGTCGGCCTGAGTGTAACAGAAACACAGAATGACAGACAAAAAAAGAATGYAGAATGCTGCCTGGGGGAAATGAGCTATGCTTTCATAGTCTTGTGAAAATTTACATCTGTGCTACAGTGATATAATGTCTTCAAACCTGGCAGTAATTCGAAGGGGGGAGGTGTGTATGGCAGGCAGGGAGCAAAGGAAAGTAATACCTATTATATGCCCAAAGGAAGCATGTAGGAAATTGGTGTACTCCCTTGCAGCCATTCAGAGGCTGCTAACAACATTGATCAGTTATCAGGTTTAAAACAAAAAAACCTCTCCCACTTCAAAGGCACCTAATGAAAATGGACAGATCTACTGAAAAGAAGGGATAGATTACTTCTATCTTCCCCTCTTGCCTTCTGTACAGCAGCAAAATTTCCTTGGATTGCACTTCAGTTTCTAAATAAAGCACTGATGTTCTTTAAAATAAGGAAAAGATGCTCAACTATATTGTCCAAACATGACAAGAAAGAAAAAAGAACAGTGTAGTGCTTTTGGTACCAGAATTCCAACCCCATTTCCCTAYAACCAGATCACCCCGTAGTGGACATTAGGGAGTCACTTTGCTCAGGACAGATCTGACAGCAGAGTTGTTTTTGAAATGTTTTATAATGTGCACGTTGCAACATTTGTGTATTTGTAAAGCATACATATGGAATTAGATAAAGGAGCTGGGGAGGGGCCAAAAAAGCAGAAAAGCAGCAACTTTACTCTTTCACATCTCTCACCTTTCTACCGTAGTTTGATTGTCTAGTTGATCCTGATTCAGTTTGTACTCAGGATTCTCAGTAACTGGTTTTGTAATACTTCCAAGGATATCATCTCCCTGTTCTACTGCTACCCTGATATCCTCCTACAAAACAAAACAAAACAAAACAAAACAAAACAAAAATCCCTCACTCTGTAGTTGCATGTTGTTGTTTTTTTAAGCAAAATTCACAAGGCACTGAGTTGGAAGAAGGATTTTAACAGCATTCAAGCAAGCAGAGTTTCATTAAAAGCAGTGGCTGACAACAGACAGTAAATGAYAAATGTCAGCTTTTTCCATGTTTACCATCTTCGGATCGCAGTGTAACTGAGTTGAATTTTCATGGTAGACAGCCTTCTAGTGTCGCTTTAGGCTACAARTATCTCAAAAATTTTAGATGCACAGTTATGAAACCACCAAATAGCTTTCATTTAAGCCTATTTGAAAGAACATTTGTTCATGCTTCAAAAGGCCATATATTTTAATATGCATGAAAATACAATCAAATTTCCTGTTGCAAACAAAACTACAAATTAAACACACCACCACTTACAAAGAAATTACTGTTTCACATACAATTCATTATGCTTTTGTACATACATAAACTTAGTTTCAAGAAATGTCATTTTTCAATGCAAAAAGGATTTTTAACATCAAAAAACCCAAGTTCAAGAAGATATTAATGGTTCTGTCTATTAGCATCATCCRTATTTTCCATTAATACTGCCAGTTATAAATTAAAACACAGTTTAGGTAAAAGACAGCATCTTTACAAAAAATTACATACCTTCATTTTGTCCTTCTTTTCTGTGTGTGTTGCAAGAAGGGAGCTGGTTGATTGCACATCATTTGGTAGTTCTGTTTCAGCCAGCTCAGTCCCAAAGGACTGAAGAATCTGAGCTGTTTGCTTAACCTTTTGCGCGAAACCTTCTATAGCCTTTGGAATAAAAAGCATTAAAGATGTTTTGTTTTCATCACACACATATGTACAAACAAACACATGCACACAAAATATAACTCATGCACTCAAAACAAACCCAAACAGATGAATTACAAGACTGAAAAATGGCCAAAGTATAATTTTGCAAGCAACAGATACCGTCACCATTAATTCCTTAATTGTAATTTTTTCTTAGGCTTGTATCAAGTGTATCTTCTTCATATTTTCATAATCTAGAGTTATTTTACAACTTGAGCTTTTTCTTTCTTGTAGCAAAACCAATAAACCTCAACACAATAAGACACACTGTAGCTCCTTTGCTCCAAGTGTTCAGAAAACCACTCCCAAGTTATTACTCATATTATTTCTCTAAGATGACKAAGTACCATTGGGAACATCTTCTCACACTGAGCAAGTCAACTTGCATCACTTGGAATCTGTTTTATAAATGACAGGGTATAAAACAGAAGGGTTCATTAGGCTGAAAAGTTAAAACAAAACCTACGACTTACAGTGCGACGGGACAGCCATCTGTTATGGCAGTAATCCAGGGTGCCACCAAGATCTTCTGTTAATTGTGTCTTATCAATGTAACCCTGCAGTTCTGATACTGAGCCCAGCATTATGATCTGCAGCAGGACAGAAAAAGTGAACGTGATCAGTGGTGACAAGGCCCTTGTTAAGGATGGCTAAGCCMCATCCTTCAGACAGTGGCAGAGAAAATGCACTTTAATATAGAAGTGAGAGATGGAGCTTTTTCCTGCGGGTATGGAAAAATGAACTTAACAGTTCTTTCAGTTGAAGATGATGTAAATGTAAATGACTGAATATGAGCATGAGTACCAGGCATATTAAAATAAAAGTTTATGGATTATAAAGCATAACAATGTCAGATTATTTTAATCCTGATAAATCATACTTGTTTTTTTTTTTTTTTTTTTTTAAAGCAACATTAATTTCTTGCTCATTTTTTCCTTGTTATCCTGGATCTGCAGGAGACAACAATAGCATTTGCATGGATTTGTCATGTAAGGATTGGCTCCCAAATATAAATGAAAGATGGGGGGAAATTTTCTTAAAGACCATATTTCACCCTTGAAATTTACATCTGGTAAGTACAATAACTTCTATTCATTAGCTCATATAGTTTCRAATTTTAAAATACAAATGCTGTACATTTGCAAGCAAAAGCACAATCCGTGGATTTACTGGCAATATAACAACAAGCATCCACTCTATGTTTGCTCAAATGACAGAAACCATAGCGTTTGTCCATGGGAAATGCATCTGCTTCAAAAATCACACACTCTTCAAGAATAAACCATTGTGAATTAGCTGAAAGTGCTTCTAAGCATTGCTTTTTGTTGGGGTTTCCTTGGTCCTCACTGGCTACCTTCAGTACTTTTACAGATTCCTGGTAGTAAAGTGAAAACAGGATTACTTACAGGTACTTTCATTCTAAGCTCATCTTTGTTGATTCTGAAAGCAATGTCTGAGAGAGCTCGATGAAAAAATCCTGTTGGGCGCAGAACGAGGACTAATTGCAGGTTTCCTGGGAAAGATGCCTGCAAAGCAAGTTTAGCCTGTTATTTTCTGTCTCTCAGCTCCAGAAAATATTTTTGAACATGGAGAAGCCCCTGATAAACCACAAACTAACTGTATCAAAGGCCTCCCATAATGGGGTGACCAATCATATTGTTGCATGTCTAGTACAAAGAGCTTCATTCAAAAGACATTTACTTGTCTTAGGAAACAGGGATCTTTTCTCTTGGAATAGTTCTTTTGTTCAGGGCTGGCTTGTACTGCTCTTCAGCTAGGATTACAACCTACCCAAGGAGGCTAATGAACAAACAGCAGTGGCTCAGTATTTATTTAAAAGCAATGCTTTCGTTACTTCATCTTCTCTTTAATAGAAGGTGCCAAGAGAAATCTCCATTATTGTGTGAAAATCTAGCAACAAATTTCTAATTTGTGCATATACTACCTTACCAATTGCCTACACAACTTATTGCCACAGATAATAAATTTCTCAAGCAGCAACTTAGAAATAAGCTTCAATTTGGCTGACAAAAATAAAAACCAGTTTTTTTCTCATCAACTCCCAACTAGAAATGTGATGGATCTTTCCCAGTTCTACAACTGATAGAGGGAAAACAGAAGAGAGGAGAAACAAAAAAAAAAAAGTAGCATTAAATTATTAAGTATCAATCTCTGCTGTGGCAGAGATTTGCATATTTGGCATTTAGCCATTGCTGGAAATATTCTCTAYTCAGTATTTCCACTGTAGGGAGGCAGTGAAATTCACTAAAGAAATGATCATTATAATGATTAAGTATGCAATTTTCTTCATTATACTGTTGGAAATTATTTCACTTTTCTACCAAACTGATTTATTGGAGGGAAGAAAAAAAAAGCCAACAAAAAAGCCCCACTGACTAAAGGAGCTGTTATACTATGCTCTATTCCAAGCCTAGTGGAACTGTTAGTATCTGGAAGGTTGAAGAGCGATTTAATAATAATTTTGAGGTTTCCAAGGATTCCAGGTACTTTGCATTAGAAAYGTAACTTTTCAAGGGAAAAGCAGTTTAACACTTTTTTGGAAAAGTGTTAAATGAATGTGTTTTCACAGATTCATTGTGATTCCCCAGGTATTCAGCATACAACCAAGATCTCAGTTTGGTTGAGCAACCCTAAAGGCTTGAGCTTCTCAATCTGCCTCCACCTCAGTGATGTCCAAATTTACTACAAAGTACAGTGGTTCAGTCCCAAAGGAGTCTGGGGGCTGGGAACAGAATCCAGGTAATTCTGAGTGCCCTCACCAGCTCCTCATCCTTGCACAATAAAGTTCATTAAGAAAGTTCACTGCTCACTGAAATTAGTGCAGCCTGTGAAGTTATTAGTCCATAGTTATCAGAGGAAAAACTTTTCATAGAAAATTTCTGAGTGTATTCACAAGAAAAAGAAATGATGATACTTTTCTTAATACTTTTTCTGACTTACCATACAAAGGAAAACCACTAATTTATTTAAGAGACATTACAATAGTAGACAAAAAATTGCTTTAATTAGGTGTCCTGAGTAATTCTTTTAGGATGACAGCCATATTTCCTTCTCTCATTCAATAGACATGTCAATTTATTTTGTGCCTTTAACAGCAGTCTTCAGTCTGACTGAGCTGTTACTTTTTACTTTTAACTTCCAAAGTGTAAAGTTTATTCAGTGGCAATGCAGATTTTTCAGAATAAAAAGCTCCAGCAAGAAATACCTTTTAGTTAACACATTTTGAAAAAAATAAGGTGCCTCCTTGTGAGATATCCACCCCTCCACATGATGTCCTGACATACTGTCTATGGCAGTGAATGTTTGCAAACCCATTTAGCCTTCCTTGGAGCACTGGGAAATGCACTGGACAGGGTGCTCCAAAATCTCAAGGCTCCCCTGCCCCACAAAAGTTTGGGCCAGATGGTCTTTCAAGGTCCYTCCCAACCCAATMTGTGATTTTGTGACATTTAGGCTATTACTGAAGCAAACAGCGGTACCCAAATACAAATAGTATATTTTTCTGGACTGTTTATTAGCTCTTATGAAATAGAATTTWATTGCATAATAAAATTAAGTCTGGTGTTCAATTCAATGAAAACAGAGAATATACATTAGAATTTTTTCCATCTCAATGTGTCAACCCAAAATGATGCTGTTGAAGTAAATACAGTCTTGTATCACTTGAATTCCCATTCAAGACATGCAAGAAATTTCTCTTGTCTCTGAATAAAAGCTCAAATTCTAGATTACTCTGTCAACAGTATCACTAGTCTGTCTCTATTTGGTTTTATTTGCTTTTTTTCTACTTAAAAAAAAAACCCATGTCTTAAAAAGCAATGCCTCCTACCCTTGTTGTGGCTAGGAGTCAAATCTGCAAACTGATTTTTGTGAAACAAGAAAGGGAAGCAATGCTACAGTAAACAATGTTGTACTTGTGCCAGCTTTTACAGTTTATCAAAGGTTTTATCTGCACTGCCAAAATACTACCATTTTTCCTAACATTTTTTTTTCCTAAAGCCCTGGTGATTGCAGAAACAATACTATGATGTAAGAGACACTCCTTACATGCCTGTGAACTTCATTGACCAGTCAGCTTCACCCTGAATACTGGAACAAAACAAAAATTCTCTGTTCCAGTCCAGCAGCACATTTGTTTGAAGCCATTGTATGCTAACCAGACAACAAACAATGACTTCTCAATAACGTCTTGCTAAATGTTAAGCACCAAAAAATATTCACGTTATGTTTAGCAGTGCTATGAAATAAAGTGCCTTCAAGGACTGTTTCACTGAACTCAATGAACCTTACTGAGAATTGATGAAGTGTTTGTATTCTCAAAAACAGGGTTGTTTTTTTTTTCCCAAAAGTGACTCTCTTTACTAGATTAATTAATTAACAGTTCCCCCAACATCTGGTCTCAAATATTCAATTTATCTGATTTAATGCCAATGCAAAAGAGACATGGGGTCCTGTTCTTCACATTCTCTGCAAAAAATTAGGGAGCGCCCAGCCCAAATATTCATTCATCTCACTTGCACTTGTTTGATACCTCATGATAGCCATGGGATTAGTTTTCTATCTGCTCATCTCCTTTGCTTCCTCATCCAGTCAGGCCAATGCCAATTCCAAAGACACAGAAAAGGATGCAGATGTGCATATTGTTATCAGCTTTSAATTAAGTCTGACCAAACCAGGAATTTGTATACAGCACAGCCCTAGGATMAAAGCTTTCCAATACACCAAGACCTCTGCTGTCCTACCAGTAGCCCGAACCTAGAACATGGGGAAGAATCTTTTCTAGCTGGACAAAATGAGGAACAACCTTAAATTCTCAAGAAAACCAGCTAATAAATTCTAAGGAGCAGGCTGATCTGCCTGCTTTCAGGCCCCTGCTTCTCAGGGATGGAGAGCCTTCCATGGCATTCCCCAGGTTTCTGRAAAGGGGAAAACATAGAGAGATTGAACACAGYTGAGTTCTGGGCAAAACKTAAAATCAAATTATCATRGAATCACAGARTGGATTGAATTGGAAGGGATCTTAAAGATCATCGATTTCCAGACCCCCGCACCAGGGGCAGGAACATCTTCCACTGGCCCAGGTTGCTCAGGTCCTCATCCAACCTGGCCTTGAACACTTCCAGGGTTGTGACATCCACAACTTCTCTGGGCAACSTGCTCCAGTGCCTCACTACCCTTACAGTAAAGATTTTCTTCCTACCATGTAATGTAAGTCTCTCCTCACACAGTTYAAAACAACTCCCCCTTGTCTTATCACTACCCGAATGTGTAAAGTCACTCTCCCTCTATTTTATAAGCCCMCTTTAAGTACCAAAAGGCTGCAGTGAAGTCTGGCTCAGMSCATTCTCATCTGAACAACCTYRGTTCTCCCAGCCTGTTCTCATAGGAGAGATGCTCCAGACCTCTGATCACCTCTGTGGCCTTCTTTGGACCATGTGTTCATTGCATATAATCCTAAATCCCACTTTTCTTCACAGTTACTGAGAGGGAGACTGTCTACACCACCAGGACTGACCCTGAAGTTAAGCCAGCTTGCAGAAATATCATAAACCATGTRAGCCATCAAAGAGCTAACACTTGATTTGGTTTTAGTAGTTCTGTCTTAAAATGTTTGGAACACTAATTTTCATTTTATGACCAGCTTCAATAGACCCACATTACTAAATTCTGTGGTGGTGGTTTYCCTTCTGCACTTACTAGCATGCCATAAGCCACAAAGCACTTCTTTCCAAAATGCTTCTGTATATAAAAGAACTAATAAGTACTTGTTTATCTATTTTTTTAAGACTGTTTATTCCTGGCTAGAATTAAGAATTGCCTTACACAGAATTCTTGTCATGAAAGAAGCTTGCATTAAATCAATTCATAAAAATAGCAGCTTGAAATCTAGTTTAAAAAACATAGAACTGTTTTTCATTAGATCCGTGTTTAATGCTTGTGGCATTATGATCCTGCTTTCYGAGTTTAAGTGACTCACTTCTCTGTTTTTGCATATTAAAAAACCATAATATATAAAGGAAAATGGCTAACTACACAAGGATAACTGCAAAAGTGCCTGCTTATGTAGAAGTCTCAAAACATCCAAAGCAATAGGACAAAACCATACTGACCTCAAAACAAACTTACTCGTTTTTCTTTTACTGAACTCATTCTTAACAATAKCTACAAAATTAATATAAATACTGTTCTAGCTTCCTCATACTGCCATGTTCTTGTCATGAATCCAGGCAAAATGAGAAATATGACYGGGGCTGAGAGAAAAGCAGTATTTTCAAATTCACGCCATACAAAGTGTTAAAGTGCCATTATAGTTTTCAGGACATAATGCAAAAAGCTAGCTGGAAACTGGGCTAATGAGAAATGCCTATCCATAATAAAAAATAGTGCCTTTCATGGGGTACCACTTACTAAACATATCTTTTCTGTATCAACAACTCACTTAAAAATTCAACATCTCAACAAGCAAGGCCAGAGAACTCAAAGTTGGATTACTGCAATTCAGTGTTTCTCACCTTGGATGTAAAATTAATGGTAAGATTCCAGATGGCACAAAAATGGGACTGCCTGACTCCTGAGAGATTTAGGCTAGTATTACAAAATTTCAGAATCARCTAGGTTGGAAAAGGCCTCCAAGCTCATCAAGTCCAAACTAAGCACTCTGGTGTCTCCACTGGCTTCTGGTTTTGATCTGCCAGGYAGCAGTATTTTCCCTAATCTTAAAAGTAATTAATGGGCTAAGCCTCTGTTACAGTGAAGACTGCATTTTGATTTATGAATAGCCAAGAAAAGCAATGCTCTGGACAATGCAGTCCAAAACAGAAGGCATGAAATCTGCATGCAATGCATCCTCAGTTAGTGGTGGTAAATCACAAAGCAAACTTCTACAGAAGGTTGAATAAAACCCATCTCTTGTCAAATTTAGAAAGGGCTGCAGGGTTTTATTATTGGATAAAAATTTGTCACTACCACCCCCATGTGACCTCCATCCCCTACCTAAGAGCAGTGTCCCACAGGTATGTTATTCCCTATACACCAAATTGAGGAAGTTTATTTTTCTCTGGACCCTCAGTATGAGGTTGATGGATGGCTGTGGTGAAACTTTTAATGATGTTGAGGGCAGTTTTTTGTAATCTAAAAGAGTGAGTTCACACTTCAACTTTTCCCTCAGGATGGAGGAAGACAATGATGACAGGACAAGAGGAAACTAATACAATCTAATGACATAGGCTTCCATTTTTAAAGAAAATACAGTGGAACTATGGAGACAGCAAWGTGAAACCCTAGAACACATTGATCAGCAAAAAGCCTCACTCCTAAAACTGTGGATTGAATATTGCTTGTTTGGGTATGATAACATCAGGAGAGAGAAAAAAAAGAAGAAATTATTTCAAAAAAGAAGAATTTTTGACTGCATGGAAAGGAAAAGAGGATCAATTTGTCTGTCATTTGTCATTCACCCAGCTTCAGTTGGGACAATATTACTTTACCAGACAGCATAACTGCTCCTCCTTGCACATTTACCCAATTGCCCAGCCCAGTAGCTAAAAGGTTCAGCAATACTTTGCATCTCTGCATACTCWGAATACCATCTTTAACTGAAAACAGGACATTCTAATACAAATTTAGAAGAATCACTACAGCTGACGGGGCAAAAAGTTTAAAAAATTTTGTATCCCCAAACAACAATGTAATACCAGTGAACAATTTGCAACTACAAACTTCGATATTGTTCTTGTAAGAACTTTCAAAWTCTACTGCTTCTCTAAGAAGACTACAATTTGCTATCAACACTTCACAGCTAACACAAAACTTGGCTCTTGGAGTCTCTACCAGAGCTCCAAGTCTCAGTCTCATTATCCCAGATTCTTCCTAAGCTAATACCTTMCGCTAAATCAGGTGAAAAATAAAAAAAGAATAATGCTTGCAGTGTCTCTTAAGCCACAGATTCTGTGAGTCTTGCACTGACTGCATGCTTGGGTACATTCTTGCCCCAATCTCTGTCACATCCCCAGCGAAGATGGGCCATCTTTCAGCCCCAGCCTCTGGCTCTGCTCTGAGTCCCATTGCCCTGTATGTCACAGCAGCAGCATCCTGGGTGAGCAGGACTGTCACTGACATTCCACTATGTCCACAAAAATAGGTTAACCTCATCTCCAGAGTCTTGACTACAGCAGCTTTTAGGTATCAGCATGAAATACAGATTCATTTCATGATGAGCTCATCATTGCTCATCTTCTGTCCCAGGGAAAGAAAAGGTATCCCTAACAACAACAAAAGAAAAATAAAGCCTAGAAATTTTTCATAATAGACAAAGATTTTCCACATTAATTTCACCCTGAAACAAAAAWTTTTTTTGTTAGTTTTGTTTTAAAATATATTTCCAATACCCACTACTACAAACCAACCATTGTGTGGCTTTTTGGAAAACAACGAGGAATAATAATAAAATATACACACTAGTATGAATTTCTGTTTAACAGCTGCTCAGTGCTTATAAATATGCTTCYTACAGTTGCCAGGGTATTAGTGATGGGCAGATGCTCCAGCCAGGATATTCCTGTTGGGCAGTGCTCCCACCCTATGCTGGCATTTGTGATTTCACAAATCAAAAGGGTCAACGCCCTCAGGACAATTAGAGAAAGGAAAGATGGCAGAAAGGACTGCAGAAACGACAATACATAAACCAACAGCCAAAACTCTCTTCTCAAATAACATGACTCCTACCCTCACACACGGCAGTAAGCTTTAGCAATCAAAAAAAAAACCAAGAGAAGCGCTGAACAGGGGCTTTTTACAAGGGCAGAGAGTGATAGGACAAGGGGGAATAGCTTCAGATTGAAAGGAGATATGTTTAGTTGGGATATAAGGAAGAAATTCTTTACTGTGGGGGTGGCAAGGCACTGGAAGAGGTTACTCAGAGAAGCTGGGRATTTTCTATCCCTGAAASTGTTCAAGGCCMGGCTTGGAGAGGCCTTTGAGCCATCTGRTCAGTGGAAGGGTAAGGCAGTTGGAACTAAATGATCTTTAAGTTCCCTTCCAATCCAAACCATTCTGTGATTCTGTAATTCAAATTGCCAGAGCTATCAGGCTTTCAGACCTCAGGTATAATCTGGATAGCCCAGGTAACACTCAGATGCTTCATAATCACCAAAAGGCAACTTTGGCTGTTAGGAAAACCAAACAAGTGGAAGTCTCCAGTTACGCTTGAGCCATTCAAAATAAATCTTTGTCCATCAATAGGATCTCTCTAATTTGGTTCAATATATGTATCTTGTATATCTGGCTTTGTTTTTTTTCTTTCTTTTTTTTTTAAAAAGAACAGACAGCTGAAATGCATTAGATTTCATTTAAATCAAATACTATAGCAAAGATATGATGGACAACAGCAAACATTTTTTCACTTCTTTTGGAATGGGAACACAAAATTTGCAAGTGTTCAGGGCTGATGTGACTATTGTTGAAGCCCGACAGGAGGACTGCTATAAATATCTATCTACATGGGTACAATTCAAAGCCAACACTGTCTTGTTCAATAAGAGAAACAAATAAAAAAMCCATGCCTTTAACAGATTAGATTTCAGCTAAGAAGTAGGATATCTCTTTTAAATAAGCTCACAGAAGAATGAGGAAAGATGAAAAACGCAAGATAACCCATCACCAACAGTACAGCTGCTGTGCAGTGCTCCTGCACTTAACACCCTTCTCAGGGCAAATCCCTTAGGCACCAACACCATCATGACAATGACATATCCCTTATAATGGGAATAGTTGCTCAGTTCTGTTMACTGAGCTTCAAAGCAAAGTAACACATACTGGAGGAACATTCCCATAAATGTTATCATCATGGCTATAAGCAGCTTGTCTGTAGCTGCTCCCTAACCCTTACAACCCCAATTATGCAAATAAAAGGACCATCATCTGTGCAACACTTATCTGTCCTTGAACAGAAACTACAGCAGTGAATTTTGAAAGAGATTCAAAACATCCAGAGATAGAGTCCTTTTCCTTTTATCATCTTAAATTATGCAGCTTTCAGTTTCCACTTCTGGAATCTGCTCAATGCTACATCTCAAAATTTCAAGATGAACTGCAAAAGCAGATTTTGCTAATACTTCAATGTATTTTCAATATTTTAACATTCCTTACATAATTATTGTGTAAAAAGCTGTATTGTGGGAATATTATATCACTATATAGTCATTAACAAAACATCATATAATGGGAGTAATAYACTACCTTTCAAGAAATACCTTTTAACTTAGAGTAAACAAAAAATTCTTTGGCTATAATCAGGCTACACAAAAACAAGATTTACTGTTTTGATTTGACTTTCACCTTACAGAGTCAAAGTTTTCATTAAAAATTCAAAGTTACTTACAGCTTTGTTTTTCAGGACTTACTGGAAAGACTATTGCCACTAACAATTCAAGCAAGGATAACAAGAAAAAAAATAGGGCAACCAATCAACCAAAAACTGAAGAAAAGCAAGTAAACCATCAGTAGAATATGCACATGATAAACATGAATCTGCCTTTCCTTATTTCTGCAAAAAATATAAAAGCAAAGCTCTAGTAAGCTTCTTTTTCCAATTAAAAAAAATATTAATTGAAAGGGAGACCAGGAGACTGAAAGTGAACAGCATGTACTGCTGACTGACCACAGAAGGCACATAAGATTTTCTTGCTTACAAGTAATACTTGTTTTAAATCAAACATCACAGGAACAGTTTTTCAATGTGAATTCCTGTCACAAGTGGTAAACTCCACCAGGACCCTCACCCACACATCTTCATAGCAGGGAAGCTCACTTGTACAGTGAAAAGCAGACCCAAACTCTAAGAGATGCACGGAGCAAGTATTAGTTCCCACCTGGGAGAGCTGGATGCTGCACACACTCACATGCACACACACAAAGTCTCCAAGTCCATACTCAGGAGGATGTYCTGAGCTGCAAACTGCATTAAAAGCACATCACAGACACATGATGCTCTCTCCAGTAAGCTGGGATACAAAAGACCAGCTGGGTACCTTCTGTACCATCTATTAGCTGACACATAGTTGAAGGAAAAAAAAATATATTTTTTCAGTTGTAAGAGGAAAATTTGACACAGAAAARTCTTTCTAAATAGTTAATTTAAAACAGTACTCACTGCTATCCGCAGTATGGAAGCTTTCACGGAGGTCCATTTGTCCTGTCTGCGATCTATGACAAGAATAAATCCAATTCCAGCATCTCGTAAACTAAGTTTGGAGAAGGAAAGAAGAAAACAGGAAAGTTYAGTTAGAAATACAAATGTAACTCCTGGTTCCCTCACACAAAAAAGAAATGAAAAATAGTTTAAAAAGGAAAAAAAAAAAGTAGCTTGACCTTTTTGTGCAGAATCTTCTTCATTTAAATGTCTTCAATAAAGATACACTATATAGCATTGCAAAGGTGCAGCAGTCATATGCATTTCACAGAGTTTCAAAATGTATTCAAATAATGAATGCTTCTTTTTCACAATAGACAGTATTTACATTTCTTGCACAGAGATTATTTCAGAGGAAAATAAGACTGTTTGACTCTCCACTGTTCGGTGCTGATATAAATCCCTTCCTCATGATGTTTTCAGGATCAAAATGAAGTTGTTTTCCTTCTGCATCTGCCTTTAACCTTCTGGTAGAATTGTCTTCCGCCTCACTGATATTTAAAACTCCTTAAAAACACAGATCCTTCTGATCACTCCATGATATTGCTCCATGCATCAGAAATTCTCACATGCCTCCAGGTTGTGAACTCCTTCCTAGGTGCATTTTTACATTCACTGAAACAAAAAAACCTTACGGCGCTTAAGCACTTGGAATCACAGATGAGAACAGCGAGCTCAGACGCGCTACTCAGGAATGGCAACATCTGTGAGAGAGATTCCGCTCAAATCCTGGAGCACGGTGACCTTTCTCTTTYGCCTGTGCTCAGCTGCATGTGCTACCGAGCCCTGACCAAGGGAAATGCTCCTGTTTTGTAATTCCCCACTAAGCCAATTGTGCAATGCCAGCAGCAGCCCTTGCCAGCCAATCGCAATCAAAATGGAAACAGCAGGCAAATACAAGGCAAACCGGCTCAGATTTATTGTTTTCTCAAATATTCGGTTCTTTTTCAATATATGTGCTGTATTTTTAGTCCTGATAATTTATTGCAAGGCCTGCTGTGGCACTGTGTGATGTTTAGAAATAATGTGCATCAATTTGTTATGGTAATATCTTAAAAGACAAAATAAAAATCAACACAGCAGAATGTCAGGATTCTTTATTCAAGATTGCTGAATCATGGAAACACTAGCTTTGCTTTATAAGATTATGTCAGCAGCATAATGATAAAAGGATGTTTAAGGGGATGAAGAACACAGTAYCCAGATGTGTCATCTTAAAGGTACTCTTCAAAATTACAAATTTAAACATGACTCACAGTTTACTCCCTCTCTTTTACAAAATGCAGTAACTCTTAAATTTGAAGACATAATATTTAGTGGGAAACATGAATAATCATTAAAAATGCAAAGGAACCCTTGCTTTCTTTCTTTCAGAAGCTGAGCAGTCCTTTTAGCAGGGCAGAATATTAGACAGGATCCTCGCTGCCCACATTCAACACATTACTTAACTCTTGCCTCTAGGTTAGGACAACACTGATAAACAACATCTGAGCACTTGCCTTGTGAGCCTGACAACCCTTGCAGACAAACAGGGCTTTATATTAACAATATGCTTCCCACTACAGTAAATTTCCATGATTTACTGAAATTTCCCCTCTTCTTTGTCTTTATTTGAAGGGTGAGAGGAGAAGAGAGATCCAGACTGATTTTTGCCTCTTCCTGTTCCCCATTTAAAGTTCTCACAGTTTTAACCTTTAGWGACTGAGCAAAATAAAATTATAATAGCAATCATGTGATACAGTAATTGGGTAGCAAAGCAAACTCTGTGGGTACACAACCTTAATGTGGATGGATGGAGTCAAAAAGGTGCTACAACTGTTACTACAGGAGTTAGTGTGGATTTTGGAGTAAATTAAATCTTGTAAAGAGCTGTTTTCCCTGCTCAGTATAAGTTCCCAGGAGCCCTCAAATTTCTCCATACTTCCTCAGASGGAGCATAATCTCAGAGTACCTAAATGTAACATCTGAATAATATTTCAAGAAACTACTGATATTTCAGTGCAATATGAATAAAATTAAAGTATCTGAAARAGCATCAATAGGATTTCTCTCCAGAAGCACAGGAAAATACAGCCTCAGCTGGGATCCCAGAAATTATCTACGTGGCAGCTCCACACAGTTTATCACCTGCCTCAACAYCTGACTATAAGAAGAGCTTAATATCACAGAAAAATAAAAAGACAAGGCTTACTTAAGTGGAAGAACTAGTTAAAGAAAAGCACATCGCTAAGATAGCCCAGCAGATGTCTTCAGCCAACCTTCTTCCACTGGATCAAATATGTTGTGTGCTTGCACGAATCAGTCACCTCAGAMATAAAAGCCAGGATTTCCCACTGCTGCCTAGAAGAAACCCAGTGGCAGAGTCTTGAGCATCTGACTTCAAACTGTTAACGCTCCACTAATATAGACTGCTGGRAAAAAAAAAAAAAAAAAARAAATGCCCTGTTCCAAATCAATCAGGGTGGGAAAAATATTTGTTATCTTGACAACAGTGCCTTGTTGCAAAGGCCTGGCTGTGGAGTCTGGGATCCAGCTCCAGCAAGTCGTAGGCAGGAAGCAACAAACCAAACTAAGACATTGTGTACAACGAAGTTGAGAACATTACAAAGACAACAAAGTCATGTATTCAAGAAAAGTAAACATTGAATACAGGTCCTTTTGCCAATGTACCCTTGCTCTACTGACCTCTCCTTACTGCCAGACACGCACCTGCATACAGAGCTCTGAGACACTTTGCAATACCCTTTTATCTTTTAGGGCATAGGATGAATGGTGCTTTGGAAACAAGCACATATTCAGTTTTCCTTCGGCTCCTGATTTAACTGTGAATGCCAGCTGYCCCTCTTTCCCTCAGCCATATTTATTATATTTTATCCCGATACTGATTTTCCCCTACCCCTTCCATGTGCTTTGACAGGAATTCATTTTAGTTTGTGTTCTGTGTCTCGGCAGAAGCAYGCTCTGATGGGCACAGACTGTCCTGTTCATCAAGCTTTTTCCCCTGCCTTGGTTCAGTTGCATTGTACTCATCAGCTCAACTCACATCTTCTCACGCTTCTGTATCACTTTCCAATAAACTTGTCTTCACCACCACCATTTGTCTCTCCCATTCATCTGTTCTTGTCCCAAGAACAGCTCCAAAAGTCTGGTTTGGGTTTTTTTTTGTTTTGTTTTGTTTTAATTTTAGACTGTCAGGATGAATGTCAGTCATTCAAATCAATTCTCACTCTTCCCTGAACACCACAGTCCCTTCATCCTCCAGCCTGAGCYTCCTCTATGCTATGTCCCTCTCAATCTCCCAGTATCTTCCCTTGGCTGGACACTTCCCTCAGCTCTGGTCCTGCCTGTGGAGTCCAGCATCTTGCCTGCACTGCCTGCTGCTCAACAGGTGGCACTCACACCCCACACCACAGCTTCCTGCTCTCAGCCCTGGTTGCAGACCGGGCTCTAGAGCAGCTCATCCTGCAACACAGAGACACCCCTGCTCAGCCCCAGGAGGACGCAGCACATTTTTGACAAAAGGCTTGAGTAGCTACTGAGCATCTGTGGCCTGGGGTTTAGACAGATTTTTCTCAATATATTTCCTTGACACAAAGGCCATCATTCTTGTAAGTGTCAAGTCTGAGTCCTTGAACAAAGGAAGGAGACACTTGAGCTTCTCAAACAAAAAGTTGTTTCAATGTTTGAAAAGCACAGTGGATTTGTTCCCTGGTATCTTAGGACACCAGGTATAACAGGATAGCAGGATCCCTGGTGTCTTCAGCTATTTTGGCTGAAGGTTGCCCCATAAAATCAGATGGCACCTCACAAATGGAAAGAAAATTTGGCAGTTATACATGACTGGAACCAACCCTCACAATGAGAAACACTAAAAAACCATAGCAGAAGCACCTGTATTCAGGCTTCTTAACACTTCCCTTACAACCTTTGYTGTCTTTAATGTATTAACTTGTATCCGGTGTACTTTCTCAAATGTAATTTATATAAGCTTGCAATTCAAATTTAGTATTTCCTTCCTTTGTTCCCCTCCTAATACATGCACAAAAAAACCCCAAACCAAAACAAAAAAACCCCAAAACATCATAGAATAAGCACTGTTCTTCTGTTTATCCRCCAGAACAAAGAACAGAACATTTTTAGAAAGGCAGAGAAACCATCCCTGCTCTGCAGGAAACGTGACCAGCAAACTCACAAAGGCCAGGTTAGAAAAGCAGAAAGTGAAGCAGGGCCACAGAGGATATGAGAAAATGCAGCAGAGTCTGCTCAGTCCCCTCCCCCTGTCTTGGGGAGCCAGTGTAAAACCATTTGGAGGAGGTGAGGTGAGGCTGAAATACCTGCCCAACAAGCAGCCAGCTTTCCATGCAGCCCTTAGAGCAGGAACTTTCCAATTAGTGACTCCTCAGCTTTAGATTAKGGGGACATCCCCTCTTTGTCTCGTTTGCAAGACTTATTAGCTCATGCACTAGGGGGAAAGGGTGGGAAAGCTTATAGTACATAGGACTGTGGAAAGCAGCTTCCCTCTCGGGTATGTGGAAACAATGACATAAACATCATCTGAAAGATCCTTGCATTTCTCCAAGGTATGGGTGGTGACAACTGCTACCCAAATAATTTCCTATTGCTTCCACACTGCTGTATGAAAATGGTTAGTATACATTGATCTCTACTACAAATTAAGCAAAACAGATCTTTGGATTCATCCCAGAAATGAGAATATCAAACCTTTGCAAGTTTGAAATTCTGTACATTTTAGATTATGTAAGTCCAGTTACTKAAAACTGAATTTCAGTCTTATAGCTTTATTATTAAACAGTTGGCCTACATTACACTCAGGACTGTTCCCTACCTCAACTACCTCAGCATACAATCAGAGCAGACATTCTTGCTCTCCAGGGCTGAACAGCTATTTCCATAGCAGAACTTCAGCAACATTCCATGAAGAATTACTGCATTGAGCAGAGCACCAAGGCAACTTGCACTGTAAGCAGAACCCTGGTACCATCCTGTCTGAAATGYTCCTCACCCACAGCAGCTTGTCAGCAACCATCAGTG